CACTGCTGCAATAGTGTGGTATATTTTTGAGCAAGAGCAGTGTACACAAATAACAGAACTTGGCCAGCCTAACTGAACCTCATTAATAAACATCACTCACGGAGCTAGCACCGTGAAATAAGTCAGTGCTGAGTACTGACTTGGTCAGTACTGGATCTAACTATCTATAGGACCATTGATAATCCAATTATACACACTGTAGTAAGGGTCCGATTTAAACAGTCTGTCAATAGTGTAAAAGCAAGTACTGGTGCTGTATTGATGTTCTGCCACTAACGCACAGAATAAGTCTATAGCTTTGTCATATTTACAATCCTGCTAAAGACATCTAGAGATTAAAGATTATTATTATACCAACTTTGATTCATTTAAATCATCGGATTGCATTTCTGAACATTGAACTCAAACTTTTCAATGGACATTCATAGATACAAATCACATTATTAAGTAACGTTTTATCCTATTGATGTAAACATGCTAAAATATGAACTAATTTAATTACTCTGCATGAAAGAACAGATTTTCTGATTAACTGATGCTGTTGTTACAAGTTCAACTGAACGGCCCAACACAAGATGCTCCAACAGGCAACACACTCCCCACTCGCATACAAGTCACAGCCAAAAAAACCTCATCTATATAACAGAGCAAAACTCCAAACTTCACAGGAGTGTATAAAGCAAAATTTAACACTGAACTATTTGTGAAGATATTTAGGTTGATGACAAAATGCTTGGTCAAGGCGGTAGATTCTAAGGAGCATTTTAAAGGAGGAGAGACAGAGGTAGAGAGTTTTACAGAGGGAAGACCAAAGCTGAGGGTTCAAGAACTGAAGGCACATGCACCAATGGTGGAGCACTGGAAAATCAACACCACCTATATCCAAAGAAGCCAGATTTTAAAAATAGCTTAATTGTAATAATATCATAAAAGGAAATGGTGGGTATACACGCAATTATTCCATGCTACAATAAATGCACCATCGTTTGAAGGCCAGCTTTCACTGTCAATAATGCTTTTGCCTTTTGTTCAACGGAGTTAGTCATGGGTAAATGATCTCAAGGGAAGTGAGGGAAAACTGGCTAGGAAACAGGATTCTAGATGACACCACACTGGGTCTCATGGCGGGTTGAGACAAAAAGTCAGCCTGGACAGCATTAATATATTAGGCCACCTTACCTCCCAACTAAGGACAGTTTAGCTGCAGAGATTTGGGAGAGGTGAAGAGGAGTCCTTAAATTACAATTAGTAAAGAGAGCTTCTCCAAAAAAAATGTTCTGTCATTAATAAATATGGTTAATTAGCATTTACACAGGCATTCTCAAACTAATACAAATGGTAAGATTTTCTACTTAATGTAGCAAAAGGTCCACAGCTTAATCCAACAAAATGCAACTTCCACAACATATATGAGTGATGCCAACTACCTGCAACTGACTGCTCAATATTTTTCTGACAACTTTAAATCAGTAAGTCAACATTAGCCACAATTGCATTTAATTTACCGTTGCTTTGAACATTTTACACACACATTTCAGTAAGCGCAACCTAGTGCAAAGCACTTGCAGGTGCTATAACTTTGAGAGATAAATCAAACCACTGTCAAACTAATTTGCTGGTCAGCAAGAAAGAGCTAAGCAATCTGCTTTATGAGTTATTGCAATAATCGAAACACAAAATATATTTATTACCCATCTGCACCTTTAATGCATACGAGGACTTTGTGGAGAAGGACAACACAAATCTTCTCTACTCACTCATTTCTTCCTGCACCATAAAGATCTTTCCCACTAATAAAACAATATTTATTGATGTTAATGAAAATTCCAAGTGAACAGACAGGAACTCCATGGGCCATGAGCTTCTGGGGAAAAAAAAATCAATTTTTCCTTACCTTACCCATACTTCATTACCCTCTTCACTAGCTTTGCAGTCCACACAACTTTAGGTTCATTTTCTTTTACTCAAGTGGAAGCCCCTCTGCCTCACGCTCTTTAAAAGAGGTAGTTTCCCCCTCAATAACTGCACTTTACATCCATCAAGTATCTTTCATTTAATGAAACATCTCAAATCAATTTGAGCCGAGAGTCATGTGCTGGGAAGTAGGTGGCAATGTGATATTCAGAATTGCTGAAGGAGAATCACACCAGAGTCGAAAAGACTGTTTCTCTTTCCTTAAAAAGACAATAAATCATCTGATTTATGGCAAAAGAAAACTGGAAATCTAAAATGTCCTGCACACATCCATTCTGTTCAAAAATATATGGCTTGTTCTGATCTGGCTCAAAGAATTTAAAAACATTGTCCAATCTAGAAACTGCTTCGTCAAGAACAATTTAGTCTGGATTTCCATGGAGTCAGGGAGATTCCTTGGAAAGGTAAAAATGGTGGCAGGGACACAATTCAAGATTCGCCACCTAATGCCCAGGATTTCCAATATTCACCAGTACTTTTTAAGGGAGTCGACTGGTTGGATTCTAAGCCCAAAACCTGTACTCCCAACCTGCCTGGCTCCAGAACAGGGATAGGCATGTCCTTGTACTCTGCAACTTTCATGGAGTTCAGTCAGTTTTTCAAAGAGTCAAGAATGTATAATAAGTCTAGGCTAAGAAATCACACATCTATTGGTGTTGAAATGGCTGAACTCCAGGAAAAACTTTGTTCGATTAGCAGCTTGGGTTTTTGATCTCTTTCAGTCAATAGTGCAATGTTTGTTTACACAAGATAAAGAGGTTTCAAGTGCTTGCAGTTTTTGTTGTTGATACTTTAAACAGTCTTGATGGCTGACACTTTTGGCCAACAGAGAAAGATTTTTTGAAAGGAAATGGAAATTTTATGAATTCAATTTTAAAGCTTTTTAAATACAAATCATTGTGACTATAGGGTTAACCGGTTCCATAAAGAGGGAGAATGGGACTGGAAGCAGCATAGCTTAGCATGAGCAATGGGCGTGTGGGGGTGTTTGTGTGTCTATCTTTGTGTAGGACAAAAGGACCTTACACTTTTTATTCAAAATGACACGAAGTCCCACAGTACCTAGGTGGATCTTTTAAATGTCCCCTGTGGCTGCCTCCTAAATCTTTCCTGGAATAGTTGATCCAACTGCACACCACCCAACTAAGTAATGGAATTAGAGATAGTAGGAACTGCAGATGCTGGAGAATCCGCGACAACAAGGTGCAGGGCTGGATGAACACAGCAGGCCAAGCAGCATCATAGGAGCAGAAAGGCTGACGCTCCCCCTACCGCATCCCAAAACCAGTCCAGCTCGTCCCCGCCTCCCTAACCTGTTCTTCCTCCCAACTATCCCCTCCTCCCACCTCAAGCCGCACCCCCATCTCCTACCGACTAACCTCGTCCCGCCCCCTTGACCTGTCCATCCTCCCTGGACTGACCTATCCCCTCCCTAACTCCCCACCTACACTCACCTTTACTGGCCTCTTCGACCTGTTTGTTTCCTCTCCACCTATCCTCTCCTCTATCCATCTTCTATCCGCCTCCCACTCTCTCCCTATTTATTTCAGAACCCCCTTCCCCTCCCCCTTTTCTGATGAAAGGTCTAGGCCCGAAACGTCAGCCTTTCTGCTCCTATGATGCTGCTTGGCCTGCTGTGTTCATCCAGCTCTACACCTTGTTGTCTAAGTATTGGAATTCTCCACCTTGCAGGCATTTTCTCCCTAGGCAGGCAGGCTGACCCAGGAAGATTACTAACTTCTGTTACCCATGCCAAAAATCTGGCCCTTAATTTCTAATTAGTTCATAAAAAGGATAAAAATGGATAAAAATTGAACTTTGTAGCATCAAGTTCTGTGAATGTCACTTTTAAACTTAACCTGAACGAGGCAGACTATCAGTATGTTTCTGAAATAAAATTTACCACATTTTCAGAATGCAGTCAACATACCAGCTATTTTTCTTTCCTCAACTAAGTTGGAATTCTTTTATTAAATAGTCAGTGGTTAACTGGAAAACTTCACAAGTTTCAGAAACAATCTGGATAAGCTCTTAACTACAAATGGAATTTGGGATCATTGCAAATTCATCTGGTTATAATGTGGATTTGTGGGATTGATGGACCAATGGTTTTCCTCAGCCAGAAATTGTTTTTTTGCCAAAGCGGAGAACGCAGCACACATACATACCGCATGGTTTTTTTAAATTAGCTTAGCTGTGTAGCATGCTTTGTGACATCACTGATAGCTATATTGTTATTTGCAACACATTTGTCAATTACTAAATAACACATGGCAACATGGAAATTATGGTAGGTTATTCAATTAATCCACCAAACATTGAATTTAAGCAGTATACACATCACTGAAATAGGCCATTCTGTCCATCAGCTCCATGCCAAACAGAAAGCCCTTGACGCCCTCTCTTCCTCACACTTGATACTTCTGTTCTTTTCTCCCTCGTGTGTTTATCCAGCCTTCGCCTTAAATGTTTTAATACTGTTCATCTCAATCATTCCCTGTGATGGTGAGTGCCACATTCTTGATACATTTTAGCTAAACAGGTTTCTCCTGATTTTCCTGTTGGATTTTAGTAGCTACCTTCTATTTATGACCTCACATTCTTGGATTCTTGCACAGGTGGAAATATCTTCTCCGTAACTATCCAATCAAACCCCTCCGTATTCTTAATGACTTCAATCAAGGTACATCTGTCAATGTTCTAAAGGAGAAAGGTTAATATTGAAGGTGTATGTGGAATTATGGTGGCGCTGAGCTTTTACCTCCATGTCATACCAGAGTTGGTCTTGTAGCTTCTAAATGGAATCTCCATATCGATTTCCAGTCCCATTCTCCCTCTGTTTGGAACCGGTTAACCCTATAGTCACAATGATTTGTATTTAAAAATTTTAGATTTTAATACAGTCGAGGGAATTAAAGATTTGGGCTTCAACAGGCACACACACACACACACACACACACCCATCTAAGTGTCTGGATGTTTACATTATTCAAAACTGTATGAATATCAAAAGCCAAAATACTCACCTCCGCCCCCTCCCATCAGTGAAGAATTTGCTGTAAACAAAAGAGAAAATAAGAGTTAACAATATATGCTCATCTTAGTCTCAGCATATTTCAACTCTCACTATCCATAAACACAGGCTGAGGCCCGAATTCAAATTATGATAAACACATTGGATCTAATCACTGAATTCTAATGCATAAATTTTCACTGGGCCAAACTATCTCCCAGTAAATAGGATTCTAGCAGTCCAAAGCACTTTCAATTACATAGCACACTACATAAAAGAAAGACTTGCATTTATATCTCGCCTATCAGAATCGCAAGACGTGCTGAAGCACTCGACAATCAATGAAGTATTTTTGAAGTAGGTGCTTTCTGATAGAGAAGGGAAGCAAACCTGACTTCAAACTACCGTGAAATATTCTCACAGAATTCCTCAGGCTACTGTTACATCCACTCACAAATTTTAATCAAAGATTTAGACAGAGGAAAGCTCATCTTGTAAATGAATAGCTCCAAACACAATGTCATGGGAAGCACAATCACAGTTTTATATATATATATTCCCATTGGGTGAGAAGCTAAGATGAAAACATGATTTTATATAATTAGCCTTTTGAAATATCTTATGCTCACATTTACTTCTAGATTTATATTTGCCAATGAAGGAATGCATACCCTATCCCCACTTTTCCATTGATCAGTCAAACAAAGACACTAGCAGATCCCTAAAAGCGGCACTGGGCACTTGTGTGATCCCACCACAGCACATATTAGATGGTAGGATGCCTGTTGGCTCCCATGATCATCAAACTGCTGAGCTTCTGGCTCTGTCTTCTCGAGGCTAAGTGTAAATGGAGTCTTGTGGTTGGGCTTACGTGGACAGAATGCAGCCCAACAGGTAATGAGAGAACTGTCTCAATAAAAAGTGAGAGATTTATTAAAACAAATTGACCATTTATTTCTCCTAAAGGTTATTATTTTCATATAAAAGAAGATTTATCTCTTACGCATCAAGATGTTCCAAAGCAGTTCATAGCCAGAACGTTTGACCTATTGCAATGTTGGAAATGGCAACCAATTTTTACACAGAAAACAGATAATGATCAGTTGATAACACAGTGTGAAGCTGGAGGAACACAGCAGGCCAGGCAGCATCAGAGGAGCAGGAAAGTTGATGTTTCGGGTCCCGTCCCGAAACGTCAACTTTCCTGCTCCTCTGATGCTGTCTGGCATCTGTGTTCCTCCAGCTTTACACTGTGTTATCTCTGACTCCAGCATCTGCAGTTCTTACAATCGCTAATGATCAGTCAACATGTTTTATGATATTGATTAAGGGCTAACTCTTTGTTCTTTTTCAAATAGACCCACTGGAACTTTGCATCCACCAATTGGATCGATGGGGCCTCAGTTTAAAGTCTCATCCGAAAGACAGTGCTGGCCTTTCTCTATACTGCACAGAAGCGTCAGCCAATATTTTTGTGCTGAAGTCTGTAAACATGTTGATGGAGAAACCAAGTCCAGTTTCAATTTGCTATTCTGCACAAAATTGACCCTCTTTTTCATTCTTTTTTAAACTATACAGAGCTTCACTCTGCCAGCTTCTCTTTTAGCAGCCTACACACGTCCAAACAAATGAAGCATTTCCATTCTCATTATGTTGCTTACAAGTAGCTATTTAAGTCTAATCCACACTGCATTATTTGAAATTCAATGTTTCTTCCCGATTTCAACTGTATATCCGAAGCTTCTCCTTCTCGTATTTAATTTAGTCTCATCTATTTTCCTTGCAGTCCCAAGTTCCAGCTCTACATATCTGCACAGATGTGATACATGCTTCATGCTGAACTGTTATTGTCTTAGAGGCCTTAGCAAATCATTTTACACAAAAATTCCACTAAATATCCTTGGTCTGCTAAAAATATCAATTTGATCAATTTTTCTGTACAAAGTCGAGACTTTTTTGTGGAGGGATTGTACAGATAGTATAGATAATATGTCTTCTTATTTTTCTGTGTATTTGACTGTGGACTGAAATGAAAAAAGAACATCTTTTAAGAGCAAAGATTATTGGTGGATTACATCAATTTTGTATGACAAGTAACCTGAGACTCATTGTAAATGTTGTTTACACAGCTGCTGTTTCAAGCAGTAGGGGAAGATTTACAAAGGAACTGGAACGAGGGGTGTATACCAAAGGAAATTCAGCCAGTAGCTGATTCGTCTGTGAATTCATGACCAGTTTTGGATGACAAAGGATTCCTACCAGCACAACAACTGTGATTTACTCCCAGGTAGCTGTACAGCTTGGTGCTATGAACGAGGTAGGGAGGATGCATCAGATTGCTGTAAGGTATCTCTGTCCTCTGCAGTAAAAACTACTTTAAGCCTGAAGAATACCAGTTTAGTTTTCTTTCAGCATTTGCTGTAAAATGAGACTTTTAAGTAATAAGTCAGAGACTTTCATAAATATAAATCAGTGACCTGGTGCTTCCTGCAATCAAGTGATAGCACCTGGAAAGGGAAGATTAAGAAGCAGCATTATGATCAGCACAAGAACCACCTCAGCAAATCCTGTGAATACTAATTATTGAACTGCTTTCCCTTTTACCCTTCACCTATAACAACCACGTTTCTTTTCCTACCTGTGCCTGTACGTGTTTATATAGAAGTTAAGAATAAGTGGGTTAGAGTTCTGACAAGTGGAGTTATAGGCCAATGGCTCATAATTATTTATCTGCAGCTAGAGTCTATTTATTGGTAATAAATAGTTGTTTCTGCACTTAACAAGAATGTTCCCTATGCTTTCTGTCAACCTGTGTCAGAAAGCCAGGTAAATTGGGGAATTCTGCAGGTCTTGATTTCCAGCACATTACCCAAGTGTCCTTTTTGTTCCTCAACTCTAACCGAATTGATTCTGTTCTTGAACCCACTGAGACGTTCTCTCTCTCCAGCACTGCAATGCTGTGCCTAACCAATACTGTCACCCCTCCCTCCTTTCCTTCCTTTTTTATCTTTTTTGAACACCTTGTACCCAGGAATATTGAACATCCAGTCTTGCTTTTCCTTGATCCAAGTCTGAAACATAACATCATATTTCTACGTGGTAATGTGTGCCTGTAACTTCCCGTTCTTATTTACCATATTCTGAACATTCACATGCATGCATTGTAACCCTGATTTTGACTTCATTTCTTTCTCTCTTACTCCAACTTCACATAGTGACTTGCTTTTCCCCATGCTATTTCCAGCTGTATTCACAAGTATTTTCTGAACCCTAGCATTTTTATCAATGCATCTCTCTTGGTGCCCACACCCATGCCAAGTTACTTTTAAGCACTCCCAACAGCACTAGCACAATACCCTACAAGGAACTCACTCCCAGCTCTGTACAGATACCAAATTCCCCAGAGCCGGTCCCAGTGTCACAGGAATCTGAAGCCCTGCCTCTTGCATCACCTTTCCAGTCATGTAGTCATCTGACTTACCCTCCTATTTCCATACAGCAGATGGCACTGGGAATAATCTGGAGATCATTACATTTGAGATCCTGCTTGCTAATCTTGTACCTAACTCCCTAAATCCTGATTACTGGACTGCCTAAATCTTTGGTACCAAAGTGGATCATGACCTCTGGCCATTCACCTAACCCTATGACATCCTTGACCCGAGCACTAGGGAGGCAACACACCATGATGGAGTAATGTTGATGGTCACAGACACAGTCTGTTTCCTGAACTTATGATTCCTGTACATTATCACTCCTCCTAGGCCTCAATTTTTATTTAACTCATTCACAGGATGAGGGTGCCATCAGCTAGGCCAGCATTTATTGTCCATCCCTAATTGTTAAGAGTCAACCACATTGCTGTGGGTCTGGAGTCACATGCAGGCTAGATAGGCAAGGATAGCAGCTTCCTTTCCTAAAGGATAATAAGCAATGGATTTGTGGTCATCATTAGACGATTAGTTCCAGATTTTTATTAAATTCAAATGCCACCATCTGGCGAGATTCAAGCTCGGAACTACAGAACATGGGTCCTAGATTAACAGTCCAGCAATAATACCACTTGCCCATTACTTCCCCTTATTTGTCCTCTGCTGCCTCCTCTCTTGCTACTGGTTTGAAGCTGCAGCATTAATTCCGTGATGCTGAGCCTCATTGTATCCTCTACTACATTCTACTCTTGCTGCTGTGTTGAAGCTGAATTGCTAGGACCATTATCAAACACAGCAGGGTTACTTTAATCAGTCAACCAGCAATGCTGAAATTCCCGTTCAAACCAATTTCTTCTAAAAAGAGATTAATCCCCCAAATATTCAATACAAATAAACAAAGGATAAGATTTAACTTAAGACTTTTACAATTACAAAAAATAATCAAATTTTACATTCAGTAACACAACGGAAATGTATTTTATGAAACACTTTGGTGCAACACCAACTGAAGAATGGACTTAGGAGAGCTAGAAGGGGGTATGAAAAAGCCTTGGCGGGTAGGATTAAGTATAGAACGCCTTGGGGTTTTCCTTATATGAGGAACAAGGGGATGGCCAGAGTGAGGGTACGGCCAATCAGGGATAGTGGTGGGAACTTGTGTGTGGAGTCAGCGGAGGTAGAGGAAGTCCTTAATGAACACTTTGCTTCAGTATTCACCAGTGAGAGGCACCTTGACGTCTGTGAGGACAGGATGAAACAGGCTGATATTCTCGAACAGGTTGATGTTACGAAGGAAGATGCACTAGAAATTTTGAAAAATATGAGGATAGATAAGTCCCCTGGGCCAGATGGGATATACCCAAGGTTTCTACGGGAAGTAAAGGAAGAGATTGCTGCCCCTTTGGCGATGATCTTTGCATCCTCACTGTCTACTAGTGTAGTGCCAGATGATTGGAGGGTGGAAAATGTTATTCCCTTGCTCAAGAAAGGGAATAGGGATAATTCTGGGAATTACAGACCAGTCAGTCTTACTTCTGTGATGGGAAAATTATTGGAGAGGATTCTGAGAGATAGTTCTGAAGGAAACTAACAACAAGGGTACACAAACATA